TGACCATCCATCTGCGGGTGAAAAGCGGTCCAAAAGTGAAAACGAGTACCCAGCTTATCCTGAAACTTCTTCCAGAATCTAGAAGTGAACCACTCCGTGCTGAGCCACTACCTACCGAATATAGATATCGACCAACTTCTCAGCTGAAATGCTCTCCTGAGTCGGAATGAAATGCACACTCTTGGTCAATCGATCCATGATGACCCAAATCGAATCCACTCCTCGTGCGGTCCTGTGAAGCTTTGTGATGGAATCCATAGTGATATTTTCCCCTTTCCACATCAGGATATCCAACTGTTGGGTTTTGTAGTGGGGCCTCTGGTGCTCAGCCTTGACCTTTCTGCATGTCAGGCATCTCTCAACATACCAAGCTACATCCAGCTTCATGCAGGGCCACCAATAATCATTACGAAGATCCCAGTACATCTTCGTCGCATCGGGATGATTAGAAACCTGCATTTGTGCGCCTCCTCCATCAATACCTGGCACACACATCAATGATACGGGACCCACACCCTACAGTGTAGTATCAACAATCCACGACTCTCATAATCGAATAAGGAAACCTGACCCACAATATGCTCACTCTTACTGTGCTCCTCCTTCATAGCCTCCTGTTGGGCCTCTCGGATCCGCTCCAATAGCGGAGTCACCATTGTCATCCTCAAACAAATATCCTTGATCTGGGCTGCCTTGCGACTAAGCATCGACCACGACATTGGACTTCCCCGGGTGGTAAAGGATCTCACAATCGTAATCCTTCACCACATCTAGTCATCGACGTTGCCTCATATTCAGATTTGGCTGATCCATGTGGTACCTCAAACTCTTCTAGTCCATGTAAATAGTACAGCGGACCCCATAGAGATAATGATGCCAAATCTTGAGGGAAAAAACAACTGCCTCCAACTCCAATTCATGCGTCGAATAGTTCGCCTCATGAGGTTTCAGCTACCTCGAAGCGTAGGCAATAACATGCCCCCTCTGCATCAATACCGCGCCGAAACGCGATGCATCGCAATACACCACAAAATCATCCACACCCTCCGGTAGGGCTAATATTGGCACCTCGCACAATCTGTCTCAGTGTATCAAATGTGACCTGCTGCTCAGGCCCCCAACGAAAGATGTAACGCCCGTAGATCAGGGCTACTCAATTTATAGACGTTAAGCGTAAAAAATGACTTTTTGATGGAAGATTAATTTGAAGGAATAATCTTAACTAAGTTGTAGTATATGTTACAAGGATTCCGTACATATAAAGAACACCAAAATCCGAGTTATAACGAAGAAGTTATGACATGTCGAAGTTTCACGACAGAACCGGAACGCCGCTGAATGGCGGGAGCTGAATCTCCATGTGAGTGGACGGGGCCCGTATTTCCTAGTTGCATGTTATATGTATGGTATATGGTAGTTTGGGGAGACTCACTAAGCTTCGTGGTTACAATTTTCAGTTTTGGTTTCAAGTACTTCAGATAGCAAGAAGAAGAGCTCGAGATGACTGCATGACTCACACCACAGTTTTCAGCCTAGGATATTTTAGACTATGTTATTTTGATACATGGTGTTGATACAGTATTTTTGTATGATGCTCGAGACACACAACATGTGATTTTGTTATGTTGTTTTATGAGTTATGAGTTTTTTTTAATGATTTAAAATTAATTTTTTAGACTATATTTTTGGGATGTTACACATTATCAATGTAATTACTAATATTTAGTGTGAAGGCTACCTCTCTAATGTTCCTAGAAAATACATCTCTTCAACCTCATCCAAAACTAGTGACAAGATGTGACACTTTATGTTATGCCCAAGCCATAGGCAATTAGTAGATTTTTATGTTTTGTAGATGGAAACTGCTAAGAAATTTTATGTATGTGATTCCATTTGAAAGAGGTAGTAACTAAGCATATCACTGGTTATATGCAAACTCACAAATGTATGAATCTACAAATTATTACATAGTCAAACATAACAATATTAATTAATTTTAACTACAAACAAACAATATATCACAAAATATATTACCACACATCCCAAAACAACAAAATAAAACTCAACATTGTCCATAACATCTCTCTTAATATGGGTAAGCTTATCAGGTTTGTTCTTTTAATATTATGCAAGAAAAATGTAGGTATGCAAAACAATTTTTTTGCTAATCTTATATATGGAAGTAATCTTTGATGTTCCAAAACATATTAGAGTTCTATTGTTTGTAATGAAGAATGGTTCAAAACAATGGATGTGTAGTGCAAAAATTTCCAAAATATTTGTTTAAAATGCATTTTAGTCAGTCTAAAATGTTTGATGTCAATCTGAATGTGTATGTCTATTATACTGTCAGATTCCAATATATATTTACATCAAAGCTCACTAACCACTCACCAACTCCAGAACAGTTATCACTACTTCGAAATGAAGTGCTCCAGAGAAAAAATTATGTTTAAAATTCAAGAAATAAAGGTTAAGTTTGTTAATTATCTTGTGGATGTGGATTGGTTTAATTAATATCCCATGTTTTTTTTTTAATTTCACACACACACAATATAACATGAGATTTTGATGGACAACTTCGTGATCGTATATATTTATACAAAAGTTTTATCATTATTAATAGTTAGGTCATCTCCAATGAGGGTTTAATGAATGTTTTAATGGAGATTTTACTCGAATGAAACCCAAAATCCACTTTCTGGGATAATGATTATGGATTCAATAAAATAAAGAATTATATCCTCATTGAACTCTACAACTCTCTATTCACACACACACTTGGTTTAAAATAGTGTTTTCTAGGCGCTTTTAATGCGCTAGGCTCCCAAGCGATGACCTAAAGCGCTTCAAGTAATGATGTGATACGATTACCTTAGTCGGTTGCATTTTCCGCATTTTCTGCTTTAAACCCTTTTGTGCTTCAGTGTTTAATGGTGCTTAGGGTAATTAATAAAAAATGGGTTTTAATTAAGTTAAGTGGGCCAATAAGTTTATATAATTAAAAAAAGATGAAAAAGAAGAATCAATCTTCTCAAATGCGGTAAACACAATTACGCAAAACAGATCAAATCGTATCATCGCTCCAACTCATCTTCTCCAAGTAATCTGAAATCGACTATGCTAATGTTTTCTACTTCCATTCAGTTATACTGATCTACATATCTTTTCTCTTCTCAAGTCTGAAAGTATAAACTTTTGTTACTTAGTTTGAAGTATGAACTTTTGTCATATTATTTATATGTTTTTTTGTTAAGTTGTTAATTGTTAACTTGTGTTACTTAACTGTTAAGTCATACACATAATTAATAAGTTTTTTTGTTATCATGCGTAATAGTTTAGATGTTTTCTAGTTATAACTTATTAGGGGGTGTTTGGTTTATCTTTTGAGGTGTCAAAAGTTCTTTTTGGAAAATATAAAATGCAAAAGATGTTTGGTAAAACGGTTTTAAAAGCTACTTTTTGACTTTTTTATATAAGGAAAAGTGACTTTTTAGAAAGAGTAAATTACACGAATGGTCCCTATGGTTTAGGGTAATTTTTGCGTTTGGTCAATAACTTATTTTTTTAACTCGGAAGATCTTTATTGTTTGTTTTTGTTACGCGTTTGGTCCTTATCTTACCTAAAAAGATTATTTTTCCCTTGATTTTTTAATTTATTTAAATAAACACACCCCTAATTCCACCCTCTCACCTTACCTCACCTACCCCATCATTTTTTTCTCTTTAAATAATAGTCTTTTTAGATAAGATAGGGACCAAACGCATAACAAAATTAAACAGTAAGGACCAAACGCGTAACAAAAATAAACCATAGGGACCTTCCGAGTTAAAAAAATAAGTTAGTGACCAAGCACGCAAATTACCGCAAACCATAGGGACCATTCGTGTAATTTACTCGTTTAGAAAAGTCATAAAATGTTGTTTTTTTTGTAAATTTTAGCTCTAAAAAAGATAAGCCAAACGCCCCTAGTACTTAGGATTTAATTCCATACTATTATGATTTTTTGAGATTTTTAAGTATTTATAAGTATTTCCATATTTTTTTATATATTTTTCAATTTGGAGTGCATCGTGTGTTCTAGGCGAGCGCTTTCACTTAGCGCATCAGTCCCAAAAAACTTTAGCGCTTTACGTTTTTTAAAACTACACACACACACACACATATATATATATATATATATATATATATATATATATATATATATATTTTATATTTCAAACTTGTAATTTGTAATTTTTATTTAATGTTAACTATAGTTTTTAACTTTTAATTAATGCTAATTAATTATTTAAAAAATAATAACTAAAATAAAGGACAAATGATGTGCAATTCATTAAACCATATAAATTTTATATTGTATAGAGTTTAATACCATAACATTATATAATAAATAAAATGATATTGTATCAATCTATTGCATTGAAGATAACCTTAGTATACAAAGTGAACCTCCTATGTGTGGTTGACCTCCGTACATTCATGGGGTTCTTTTGGCAATACCCATTACAAAAGGGTTTGTCGCGGGTTAGTTGGCTAGATTGGTGTTGTGCTTCCCTTTATCATGTAGGTTACCTTTTTGTTTTCCCACTGCTAGTCGATGTTTTCATCTTGTTTAGTGCTTGTCTGTTCAACAAAAATAGGAAAACATATAGAATATATGATCTTGTAAGTAATTTTGAAAATGGAAAATCTATAATATTTATAAACGAAATTCAAAGCATCCATAATATGAGTTTTCATAATATTTTTTAATAAAATATCTTTTGAAAATTGAAAAGGCTACGATTTTTTTTTTTTTTTTGTTTTCTTTTTTCAAATTAAAGCTTTTTTAAGTAGTTTTTTTTAGATAGAATCTCACTTTTGGCTATAATTCATTAAATAGTTTGTTTATTAAAAACCTTTCATGATCTTTTTTAATAATTGTATGGGTATCATAACTAAAAAACATATACAAACTCATAAAAAACAAATTGAAAAAGCTATTCTATTATGTAAGATAGAAGGACCTTTTTAATAATTGATGATCATTTATATGAATCATGGGATTTTCTCCTACATAAAGATAATATATTCCGACTACTCTCACCTTCATTCCACAAACTGATTCAGGCTAGTGACTGCAGTCGTCTGACAGTGGGGTGTTGAGGAACTTAGTACTTGGAGGAGCTGGGGTGATGGTGTATGTGGTCGCAGCCACAAGCTCACAAGAAGAACACATGGCGAGGGTGGTAGGTGGCAGTTGCAGATTGAACGGATTTGAAATGGTCTTTAACGCCCTCAATTCTTTAAGTTCTTTGTGTAATCTTCTGTTTTCTCGCGTTAATGTCTCACAACAGTTTTTTAAGTATTCATAATCCATTTCTGTTTGCTTCAGTTTCGTCCTACAGGAAATCATTCAGATATACTATATCAACCATCAATAAGGACGCCGTTTTACAATTCTTTTAAAGTGAGAAAACATCGATACCTTGCTCTTCTGTTTTGAAACCAGACTTCGACTTGTCGTGGGCTGAGATTAAGTTGTATTGCTAGATCAAGCTTCTGTCTCTGAAAGTAAGAAATTTCTGTTGCTAGTCCGTTGGATTTAATACAAGACTGCGATTCATTGAAGTTATTAAAGATGGCAGTGGTTGTTTGCTTACATGATTTAGAATAGAATGGTCTTTAAAGCTTTCTTCCAAATATGCAGATTGTTGTTTCGTAAGTCTCAATTTTTTTCTGTAAATCCCATTATGATCTTCATCGCTAGCTCTAGAAGGGCCTCTCTGCATCTCCACCACGTCGTTTATCAGTTCCAAGCTCTTGTTTTTCAAGACGTTTGCAGTTCTACTAGAACTGTAAAAATCCAGCCGGAGAGATGACGTTGCCTCTTCTGTCCCCATGGTTGCCGGTGGGGTACTCTTGACATCAAATCCTGTAGCGGCAAGGAGATTCTCGGATGAACCCCCATGGGAATTCCCTGCAATATTATAAAAGTACACGATTATTTATCTTTAAAGGCTATGAAATTTCTGACTATGTGTGGGTAGCTATGTGAGAGATAACCATTATCAGAAGACCATGGTAATGATGGAGCATGACGATCAGGAAGAAGATCAAGCTGAAGAGGAGGATTCAATTGCAAGGCTTTTTCTCTACCATCAATTATTGCTTTGATTCTTGGGCTTTCTTTCAAACCCTCTTGATCTTCGAAAGTAGTTTGATCGTCTTTTTTGTTGCTATCATCGTTAGCTCGTGTTTTATTAGTTCCATAGATTGCGTTGATCGTTAAAGCCATGCAGAATCCTACACTACAATTGTCGGCGGCGGAAGGGAAAGTAGGGGCTGCAACTGGGATTTTGGTAGTAATCGCATGAAACTTTTTACATGACTTGTCACCTAAGCTTAAGCCTAGCTCCATATATTATCTGAAAGATAACGAAAATACTATCCACCAGATAGAAGGGATGGGTGGGGGTGGTTTGAGGTCGGTGTAATGAATATTGCAGAAACGGTATTTATAGACTTAATCTACAGTTTGTTTGCTTTTTCGTAAACAAAACGTTTCACTATAAAGTAACAATATTTGGATTTCCTAATCTATTAATCACTCCTCTCCTAAATTGTAGATGCATAATTTTAAAGTTTTATTGAAAAAAAAAATACCGTTTTAATTAGCCTACAAACTATTCTTCTGTTTTAATAGTCAAAAGGCTATTAAAAAAGATTAAACTTTTAATACCATAACTCTTAATAGCAACTAGGAAATGGCCCATGGCCCATGCTTTGCATGGGTTGGGAGTTTTTTTTTTTTTTTTTTTTTTTTTTTTTTTTTTTTTTAAGTTATGTGACCAAATTAAAAAATCTTAGAGATTCCAGTTCCAAAACCTCACGGATTTAATATTTCAAAATAATAATAATAATAATAATAATAATAATAATGTAAAGATGTGCCTTTTGTTAAAAAAAATTATAATATACTTATTGAATCAATGTCTAGTCAACATCTAATGATAACCTATTATTAATTACGGAGTCAAAATCAAAAAATATTAATTGAACTAAATAACAATTAAACATTTAATCGAGTCAAATACAACAAAATCAGAAAAATTATTTTAATCATTTTAATTCTTTTAATCATTTTGTTTTACTCAACTATGATACTGAGAATATAATATATATATATATATTATATATATATATATATATATATTATATATATATATATATATATATATATATATATATATATTATATATATATATATATATATGCGCGTAGGGAGGGCAGAGTGGATATATATATATATATATATATATATATATATATATATATATTATATATATATATATATATATATTATATATATATATCCCAAATTTTTTGGGGCTATTTTTTTTATTGTTATGTATGTATATATAATTATTTAAAAAACTTATATATATATATATATATATATATATATATATATATATATATATATATATATTACAAACAACAATATTATAACTAAAACAAATAACTAATTAACTAAAATTACCATAGAAAAAAGTGTAGTAAATTTATAAAGGAACCTTCTAATTAGTTCTTTTGGAAAAATCTTGGTAGCTTCTTTTTTGGGAAAATGACTTAAGAGGGTAACTACCTCTTATCCGGATTAACATATTGGCAACTTTTTATTTCGTGTACATAAGAAAACAACTAACTTGTTTTAACTGTTTAAATTACACCAATATTACCGGTTAATACATATTTTAACCGGTAACTCAAAAGGAAAATGACTTGGGAGGGTAACTACCTCTTATCCGTGTTCACATATTGACAACTTCTTCTTTTTTGTACATAAGAAACCAACTAACTTGTTTAAACTGTGTAACATCCCAAAAATTATGACAAAAATTTTTGTTTTTAATTTAATACTAAAACCATAATTGTCAAACCATTAACTTAATACCTCGGCATCGGACCCCGCCCGGCATCAGGCCTCGCCTGTCATCGATCCCCGCTCGGTATACAGATCTGTCTCTCTTAGGCCCCATATCTGTGACATCCCCATTTTCACGGCTAGAAAAGACCGATTTTTGTTTATGCTTTATAAGATCAGAGTTCTTCTTTTAATAAAAATGTTGCGGAATTTGTTCCCAGAAAAACATGATAAATACGTTATTAAAACATTTTCGGAGAAACGTATTTTATTCATTTCAAAACGTTTGGGATGTCATCGTTAATACAGAAACATAAGCATAAACAGAACTTACATTTATTTACACTAGTGATCTACATCTCTTTAAATCTCTCAGTGTAAAGTGACTTCGTATCAACACCTGTGATATAAATAAACTGAGTGGGTCAGGTTGGGAAACCTGGTGAGTACATAGGGTTTTCAACCCACAATAATATAATTATTATTTCCCAAACAATCAAACAATCAACCCAATTACCCATCCCCATTATCTGTTTTATTATTAAGGATCTACCCTAAGAATCAACTATTCCTCGTTCATACATTCCTAAGGATCATCTTAAGGAATCGGCACGAAGTCCATCGTCACCGGGGTTTAGGCACTAAGTCTGCATAGTCGCCATGGTTTTGGCACCAAATCTGCATGATCGCCAGAGTCTAGGTATCAAGTCTGCATGATCACCAAGGTTTAGAGTACACCGGATGAACACATCGTTTACAACATCTACAGGTTGCGAGCCTGTTAGTGATCCACTGGACTATCTAGGATAGTCCGTGGTTGTCATCCATACTCTGCTGAATGACGGGGACATCATTTGGGAAAAGGCTTCTCACATCGTACACCTCTCACCCACACCACATAGTCTATATCACCTCTCAACTCATCATCCAACTCATATTTCATCTATTATATCTACCCATGTTTTACCCCAACATTTTCGTAGATATAAAATACATATATACTTTAAATCATTTAAAACATGTATAAAATCTTTCATCAGCATGGACAACAAGTATTCAAACAATATGTACACATATCACGTAATTTATAATAAAATACTTTACATCTATGTGTAAGATGAAAGGGACCATGCACTCACCTGATAGGTGGTGACTCAACACTCGGACAGCGCTTCGATACTCTCAAAACAACTTTTCTTCGATAAAACCTAGTATCAACACCACTAGGGTTTAGTCTCCCGATATACGCGACAAATTAATAGTATAGCTATAATTATTATTATATAAGCGTTAAATAACACTCAATATAACTCATAATAATAGCCCAAACAATTATTTTAAGGTCCTAATAATGTTACTATAATTAATTAGAAGCTATATTAAAACTAGCGTAGGCGTAGCTCACTTACAGCGGGTTTTTCGCAAAACCGGGCTTCGCTGGAGCAGCGTTTCCCAAGCCGAAAGGCTCTTTTCTCGGAGCCTTCGGGCGCTCCGGAGCTTCCGCCTCGTGCTACGGAGTTACCCTAGGCTTTAGGGGGTTAGGGAGGCTTAGAGAGAGAGTTTAGAGAGAGAAAGAAGGGTTTGAAGGTGTGAGAATGAATGGAACCCGACACCTCTATTTATAGGGGAGAAATCTGATGGACTCACCGAGTCTGAGTCATGACTCGCCGAGTTGGTGCATGTGGCAACCTTCTGGTGGTGCCACGTGTCCAATTCTGGTGGTGCCACGTCACCCCCTATCGCGTATCAGCCTTCAAACTTAGAAAAATCATAACTTTCGCATACGAGCTCCGTTTTCGACGTTCTTTATATCCACGTGTAGGTAAAATCAAGATCTACAACTTTCGTTTAGAATCCGTCGGCTAATTCTCGACCGATCTCAAATTTAACAGTAGGAGGCGTTTAGACTGTTAAATGACCGCGAAGATATCATAACTCCTTCATACAGACTCCGTTTTCATCTATCATTTTACCGTTGAGTTCCTATTAATGAGACCTTCAACTCTCATTTAGGTCGTGTAAGCCAAAAACCGCTCGAACTAAAATTCGAGTTTCGGGCTGTACACTGCTAAGTCGAATCTTAGAAAAATCATAACTTCCTCATACGAAGTCAGATTTGGGCGTTCTTTTTATCGACACTCTTAGTTTAACATATTATATGACTTTCGTTTAGATTGCTAAGGATAAATCTCGCTCTATCATAAATTCACTATTTACGCTTCCCGGTGCCGTGCCGGTTGCCATAACTTCTTCGTTATAACTCGGATTTCGGCGTTCTTTATATGTACAGAAACCTTGTGATATATTCCAAAACTTGGTTAAGATTATTTATTCTAAATAATCTTTTTTCGAAAAGTCATTTTCGACCCCTATTGCCTCTAAATTGACTAGCCCGGATCTACGGGCGTTACAATTATCTCCCCCTTAGGATGATTACGTCCCGGAATCATCTACGAAACAGGGCTCACATGATGACTCCATTTGTTATCTATTCATCCTAAGTCATAACTTCGATGTTTCTTCGAACGTGTATCTAACTCTTAGACCTTGACTACAGGCGGTGCTCGATCTTGCATACGCTCTCTATCTCACGTTAGACTCCAAATTATGACCTACAAGTCACAATTTCGATCCTCACTGGATACAAACTTAAGATAAGTTCTTTTATTAATACAATGGACCGATGTGTCATATTCTAATGACCTCTCATCGTATGTTGCAATGCTCAGACTCAGGTCTCTTAGAGTCAAATTCCATAACAGTCTATACCTTCCTTCATGTTCTAGTCACATCTAAAATGGTAGCATCTCTAGCAACCATCTTCTTTTAACAACGAGCTCGATACTTCTATTGATCTCTTTGATTTCAATCGTTTGGTTTAAGTCGGACGCTACATCAAACCTGGTTCTCTGAACCACGTAACATACTCATCGTAGTCGGACTCAATTCGATATGACCACTAGGGTCGGAATATCAACAATCGTCTTAGTCATTACCAAAACAATGGTAACAACACACTTGAATAAATCGAAATCAATTACTAGTTTCTTGGTAACCTTGTGACTTTCCCTGATCCAAGCGTGAGTCCTGTGCTTCCGGTAGTATATGCATCTACTACCTTTCACACCTACTCATACTCGTCCCAACTATTGTCTCGCAGTTTTCCCAAGTTATTATCACAAAAAAAAATTTAACACATAAAAATGTGTCCAAACAATCACAAAAAATTTCCCTAGACTCTACTAGGACTTCTTCTATGCGTATCTTCAATCATCAATTCTGCTTCAGCTCAGTGGAAATACCATACGATGGGTCAACTTCATGAATTACGCCAATCATTCCATCATCCTGCCAATCGAAGGTGTACTTCGGACGTACTGTACTCCTCTAAACGTACAGCATGACATATTCTAAAGGCAAGATACCACTCTTATGATATCTTCCGATAGGTGTCATTCACTATCGTAAGCCTTTTCATTTCCTCCACTTACTCAATTCTCTATGAGTCCTTATCATGACATTCTATTCTCCAAAGCAAGCGTTTGGTGTATCGAGACGAGAGTA